CTGGTACCTTTACATGACAGGTCTTTGTTCTCATTTTTTCCCCTTGTCCCTGCCCTCCCTTCAACCCCTCCTCCCCTCCCCATTTACAAACATTTTATTTCCATTTTTTCCTTTTCTCATATTTTTTCTTCTCCCTTATTACCTTTCCCCTACCCTTCCCATTTTCCTTACACCTTTCGCCCTTTTCTTCCTATCTCACATTGTCAGTTATCTCATTAGGATCTTATGTATGTACTATTACAGTTTTTCACACCAGAGAAACTATTCGGTATTTACACATGTGTGACTTATTTATTTCATTTAGGAATATATCCTCAATATGTATCCATTTTCCTATGAATGAATCTAGTTTCTTTTTAATAATTTAACTTCATCCCCCTCTCTTAGCTGCTTAGTTTATTTGGTTTTTGAGTGTTTACTGATCTTTTCATTAATTTGTAAAAATTTATTTTGTTTCTCTTTTATAGAATGATTGTCAGCCTACGTGTGGGCGCTCTTTGCGAAGGACACAACGCAAGCGTCAGCATACTTATCAAACACGGTCCAACATTGAGCATAATTCACATGCATCGTGTCAAAATTCTAGTGTACAGGATGATTTGGACAGCTCCTCAGAGGTTAGATTTCTACTAGTATTTATTCAATGTGCTTTTTTGTTTCCTAGTTTAAATCATCCATTTGGGTTTATTTTAAAGGCCTATTTAATGGACACCTATTTTAATAATTTATTGATGTAGTTTATTCATTAATAAGACAGTAGTCAAATTTTGATATATTAAATTCTTTAAGGTATCTTTTCTGATTTGCACCTAAGATATTACCTTGGTGAGGGTATCACACATGCCAGCAAAACAGTCCCAGGACTAGTTGGCTGTGTAAAATCAGCATAATATGTACATTTTCTGTTATTATTGATGTATTAGTTGGCTTTCTGTTGCTCAGACAAAATACTTGATACAACTTTAAGAGCAAAAAGGTTTATGTCAGCTCACAGGTTCAATGGTTTTAGTCTGTGATCAGCTAGCTCTAAGGCAAAAATACCATGATGAAAGGGCATGGTAAAAGAACGCTGCCCACTTTACGGCAAACAGCAATCAAGGAAGAACCAGAGAGGAAGAGGCCACAGACTAAATATACTCTTCAAAGGCATGCTCCAGTTACCTACTTCTAACAAGGCCCCACCTTCTTTTTGGGGGGTGGGTGCAAGGGATGGAACTTGGGACCTTGGGCTTATGAGGCAGGCAGCAGCACCACTGAGCTAAATCTCCGGCCCCCTCCCCACCTTCTAACAGGCCATTCAGCTGTGAACTCATTAGTGGATTAATCCACTGATGATACTAGTGCCTTCATTATCATATCTTCCAAAAGTCCCACTTCTGAACACAGGCTTCTAAGGGGACATTTTTGATCCAAACTAGAAAAACTGATTTCATCTCTTATAAATCACTGAGTATAGATTTTTCTCAAACCCACCTATTTCATTTTAAGAAATAAATGTATCATTTCTTTTCTTCCTGTTCCTCTGTTCGCCAATCCTTTTGTTCCATTAACAACTCTAATTGTTAAGTGCATAATGAGGGATTGATGAAGTATGGATTTCTCATTCTTTTGCCAATCACTGTTCTTAAACTAATTTTCAAAGATATTTCCCCTTTCACCCCACTCACAACCTCCCCTGCATGAATATCTTGATATTAAAAGGATGATCACATACAGGTCTTGTTTTGTTTTTGGGTACTGGGGATCAAACTCAAGACCTCGTGCTTGCAAGGCAGGCACAGTGCCACTGAGATAAATCCCCAGCTGTTACGTACAGTATTTTTAATTTTTTTTTTTTTGGCATTTAAGAGGGTATCCTGTATTGGGGCTTAAAAAGTCTTTCGGGTTTTGGAATAATAAAAAGTTTCTTTCTATTTGTAGGATAATATGTGCTAGAAAATCTTATATACCTGACAGATTTACTTGTGAGTTACAGATATATGTAGAAAAATAATTACATACATTTTAACTAGATTTGGTGTGGGAGTATTAACAGATAGTAGATTGATAATAAATATCATACTAGATAATAATAACTATATATTTCAATTTCTGGCTTTTTATTTAGGAAGATGAAACTGTTGGCACAAGTGATGCTTCTGTAGAGGATCCTGTTATTGAATGGCAAAGTGAAAGTTCTTCCAGGTAACTTTAATGGTTTTGGTTTAGTCAGAATTATTCAATGGTCTTTAGTATGAAATTATATTTTTATCGAGTTTAATAAAACTCTAGTTAAAATAGTATTTATCTGGGTGTAGTAGCACACACCTGTAGTCCTAGCTACTTGGGATGCTGAGGTAGGAGGATCTCAAGTTCAAGTCATACTGGGTAGCTTATCAAAATTTTGTCTTAAAATAAAAATTATGTGGCTCAGTAGCAGACTGTTTGCCTAGCATGAATCAGGCCATGGGTTTAATTCACAGTACAGCAAAATACATTGTATTTTATATCAGAAAGAGTACTGGATTGAAAGCCTAGAGACTTGATGTTTTATCCTGTCTTTGCTAATATGTTCTTGATGTCACCATGTGCTTTTCAATTCCTTTTATCCTAAGATAAGATAGTTTCTAAACTGAAGATTCTACATCTTGGCCACTATATAGATATAATATATATATGCATATATATATATTTATTTCAGTTTTGAAACAACCCTATTTCACTATTTCTAGGAATGCAGTACACTTTAAAGAAGCTTTTGTGATTTACACAGGATTTTTTATTTGATTGTTATTATTTTTTAGATTGGTTTGTTTGTTTTTTTTTGTTTTGTGTTTGTACCATGGATCAAACTTGGGTCCTTGCGCTTGCCAGGCAGGTGCTGGAACCACTGAGCTAAATCCCCAGCCCATAGACAGGTATTTTAAATCCTATTATAGAAACAAAGAACATTTCATTATAGTCATATAATTAATAATCAAAATTCTATATTAATATTTTTCTCTTTTAAGCTGCATCATTTATAATGTTATTTGATAATGCACTGATCATCTTTAAATTATGAGGTAAAATTATGTCCTTCCTGTACTTATATATTAACAATTTTGATTTATTTACAGTGATTCATCAAGTGACTATTCTGATTGGACAGCAGATGCTGGAATAAATTTACAACCTCCAAAAAGACAGACCAGACAGGCAACACGGAAAATATGCAGCAGCTCTGAAGAAGAGAATTTGAAGTCACCAGATGATAGGCAAAAGAAACCTAAGCAGACTAGAAAGAAGGTGTGTGAATGCATATGTTGTTTTGGTTTTGCTTTTGTTGTTTTTTTATTTGCTTCTGTTTGCCTTTGATACTTGAGTATTTGATAGTATATCTTTGACTTCTTTCTCAAAATAGCATTTCACTTGAGATATCAAGTAAATCAAAGTAAGTTTAAATTGATTTCAGATAAAAAGAATATTTGAAATACTTCTCTTATAAAAGTAGAGGCTAGAACGTCTTTATCATTATAGTTCTCTATTAAATTTAAACACATTGACAATTTTTTATTAAAATAGAGCAAACAGTAGTAAGCCACAATAGAACAAAAGTATTATTCTTGTCCTGTTACCAATCATAAGTTTCTAGCACTTTTTACTCAGAGGATGAAAGAATATAATAAATTGTGCAGGGCTCTTTTGCCATTCTTTTATGCTTTTATGTAATCTCATCAATGAACTGTATTCCATAGTGTAATTTCATTTCAGTGACATAAAGAATTAATCCCTGTAATTCTTTTAATTTAATTCAAAACTGTATTATCTATACATTCTGTATCCTGTTATAGGCATAATTATGTTCTTTTTGGGGGGGGTGGTTTGAGACAGGGTCTTACTATGTAGTTGAGACTGACCTGAACTCAATGTGTAGCCCAGGCTGGTCTTGAACTCACAGTGATCATCCTGCCTCAGCCTCCGGAATGCTGGGATTACAGGCGTGCTCCACCATGCCTGGCTCTAAAATTATGTTCTTAGTATCACTATTGTATTAAAATTATTTTGTTAGTAGTATATGAGCTCTTGTAATATTCTAAGAAATAGAGTAAGGGTTGTGTTTTTTAATGGCATTAGAGTGGCATATTAAAATTATGGATTTTAGGTGGTGTGTAGTATGAGGTTATTACCGATTGGCCAAAGTTGAACAACTTGATTTTTTTTTATTGGTAGAGAAAGTAGGTATAATTGCTAAAGAAAAATGTTTAAAATTGTATACTTCAGGTTTTCATATAACCTGATAGTTTTAATATTCCTGATCTGCTGTTTTTAGCATTGTTACTGATATATTTATATATTTTGGAATAAACATATTAAATAGTATATAATATATATGTTATAAATGCATTTATATTTTAGAAAGGAGGAATGGTTTCTATGGCAGGTGAGCCCAGTGAAGAATGGTTTGCCCCTCAGTGGATTTTGGATACCATACCACGCCGTTCCCCATTTGTCCCACAAATGGGAGATGAGGTAATTGTTACCTTTTAAAATCTTTTTCTCTTATAGCCCCAAGAGCTCCTAGAATCACTCTTACTCTTTGAACACTTGTTAATTCAATGTAGTCTGAACTGCTATGTTTTGTTATATATTTCTTAAGGATAGTGACTAAATTAATTGTTATATACTTTATAGGGCCTAGCATAGTCTCTTCAATATAGGAGATGCTCAATGAACATTGAGATACATTGACTAGATTGTGAAGTTGTGAAAATAATTGGCTTGATTTTTTTTTTTATCTTACTTACCACTCAGGACACTTGAGTAGTATTTTGATTCCCAATTCAGATCCTAACATTGCTTAAAAAGCTGCTTAACCTGATAGAAAATATATTGAAATATAATTATCTCTTTCAATGAGCAGAACAATTTATTTTGCAAGGAATGCTTTCCTACTGAGTCTATGATTGAATAAGTGTTTATTATTCAAAGATCAATTAAAATTCTACCTAATGAAAAACCTTGAAACATTATATTTCTAGTTGATTTGTGTTGTCTCATATAGTTACTAATCCTTAATTTTTGATTGATCAAATATTTGCTCATAGTTTTTAATTTAGATTAATAATAGAAATATAATGTTTTCGTAGGAGCTGCCCATTTTTATGTAACTGACCTGGGCTGCATGGGCTACTTTTCTTCATGGTGGGAAAGTTAATTATCATCATTGTGGAAATACTACAAGATTCTTTTGTTTCCAGGCATATGTACTTGCGTCCAGATCAATAAAAAGCAGAAAAAGAGAGGGTTCAGAAGAATTTCCCCAATTTTTAGGTCTTTTGCTATTTGATTTCAGTATAGCGTATGCTACATAATATGCATTGTCATGGTGTTTCACGTGGACTATAGGATTTATTGATGTGACCAACTAAGGACAAAGAAATTTAAGAAATGAACAAGGGAATTTTTACTTTGCTGTTAGAAATATATTTTTGATACATCAATATGAGAGACCTGCCCATTGATAAAACATTAATGATGGACAGTTTCAGAGATATTTTTATCTCATGTTACCATCTCATATTCTTTTGTCAGCTCGCTGCTTCTAATCCTAGTAAGAAACTTGCACAAGTGTTTTACAAGTTGAAGAAAAGTGATAGCGTTTAGTTTTTTAAAAAGATATAATGTCTGATTGTATAAATTAGAATTATTTATTATATAAACATGGTGTCCAAGATGACATTTTTAACCAGCATAAGAGCAATCATTAATAAGTTGGATAATATAGAAAGTATTTTTTCCTCAGGTTAGTTCAGTCAAGTTGGTGATGTCTGTCCATTAACCATTTATGTCCTATCAAAATTACAATAAAATTTAAACAAAAAGAAATATAATGTTGCCATTACAATTAAAAAGAGTGAAGTACTGCAAACAAGTTCTTATATCTTGGGACCAATAAAAATTGCACCAAACTTTTGTGTAGTTACCTGTTGTTGAGATATTACACCATATTTAGCAATTATGAATAAGCTATTACTTGCTGTTTATTTTAAATATTATTAATATAATTCTTTATATGTGTGTCTTCTTACACATAGGAGACTTTTGATCAAATTCACAGTTATATCAATAAACATGCTCTAATTAATGCTGTATTAAAAATTTAGACAATTAAAATTTGTTTTTTACTTATCTAAAAGTCACTATTTCACTTTAATTTGGGGGTTTTTGGTTTTTTAGACTTAAAAGGAGTAAAGTTGAATTAATTTTGGACTCTACAATACGACAGCCCTGTACACTCTTAAGAGCTGATGAGATTCCTCTCTACTTTTTGTTTTCTCTTAGTACATGGGGTTGAACCTAAGGCCTTTTCCCTGAGCTACATCCCCAGCCCTTTTTATTAAATTAATTAATTGATGGATGGATTGATTGATTTTTGACACAGAGTTTTAGTGAGTTGCCCAGGCTGGGCTCAAACTCAGCAATGGTCCTGACTTCTCCTTCCAAAGTTCAGGGATTACAGGGGTGTTCCACCAATCCTGGCATCTTCTCTTTACATCCATTTTTCTCACTTCATACCCTGAGGGAATTGCTTTACTTGTGTTTATTAAATGTAATATGTCCTTATGTACTTCAAAACTGATGTGTCTTAGGTGATAACAGTTTTTCAGGTAATGAGCACAGTACATCAGTGAAGTTGACGTATGTTTTAGTTAGCTTTTCTATTGCTGGGATAAAATACTTGACATAAGCAACTTCAAAGAGAAACGGGTTACTTTGGCCCATGGTTTCAGAGGTTTCATTCCATGGTTAACTGTCCACAAGACAGAAACATTATGGCAGAATGGCTTGGCAGAGGAAAGCTGTTCAACTCATGACAGCAAGGAAATTGAGAGATATGGATAAACCCTAAGGAGATTTACCCATCAAAGCCATGATAGTGACCTACTTCCTCCAACCAGCCCCTACATCCTGATAGCACATTGAAGTATGAACTCATCAAAATCCATTGACTAGGTTAATCACCATCGTGATCTGATCACCTTTTAAGAACTTCACCTTTGAACACCTGATCTTTACTGGTGGCATTTTTATCCAACCTATAATAATACATCAATTAGTCAATTTCTATCCTTTTTTTCTTCTTTATTGTAAATATTAACAAGTTAAAATGTTTCTTTTGGGCAATTGCATGTAACATACCTCAATCATTTTGAATCCTATTATCGCTTCTCCTTTTCAACCTCATCCCTTGATGATCCCCTTCTTTATCTCCAGAAATCTACATTCTCTCTCTCTCTCTCTCCTTACCTACTTGGTTTCTCACAAGAGAAAATATGGAGCATTTAACTTGCCAAGTTTGGCTTATTTCCCTTAACATAATGGTCTCTAGTTCTACCTATATTCTTGCAAATTGCATGATTTCATTTTTCTTCCTGCCTTTTTATGTATGTGTGTGTGTGTGTGTGTGTGTGTATATACATACACACACACACACACATCACATTTTCTTTAGTTCATCTTTCAGGCTATATAAACAGCTCTTTTGGTATGTGCTGTTACAAAACATGGATATACATGCATTACTATGGTATCCTATCTTAAATACTTTCAAGAACACACCCAGTCCTGGTTACCCAGAACCTGAATGAAATCATATTTCTTTGTTAGTTTGTTTAGTAATCTCTATACTCATTTCCGCAGTGGTTCATCTTACCAATACTGTAGGTAGGCTCCTTTGCTCCCCTGCATCCTTACCAGCATTCATCATTTTTGTATTTTTGATGACAGACATTCTAAATAGAGTGAGAATATATAGTTTTTATTTGTATTTTTCTCCTGGCTAAGGACATTGACCAGTTTTTCATATACATATTAGCCAGTTGTACTACTTCTTTTGAGAAATGTCTATTCAGATCATTTACTCACTTTTTGATGGGGTTTTTTTGTTGTTATTTTGGAGGTTAATTTTTTGAGTTACATATATATTCTAGATAATAGTCCTTTGTCAAAGCATAACTAGCAAAGATTTTCTGCCATCCAGTGGGCTGTCTCTTCAGTCTGTTAGTTGTCTCCTTTGATGTGCAGAAGCCTTTTAACTTGATGTAGTCACACTTGTTGATTCTTTATCTTATTACCTGTACTATTGGTATCCTAATAGAAAAGTTTTGTCTATGTGTATGGCTTTAAGTGCTTCCCCATCTTATCTTCCATCAGTTCGAATGTTTCTCATTTTATATGTAGGTCTTTGATCCATTTTAATTTGATTTTTATACAAGATGAAAGAGATATAATTTGTCTTCTTCATGTGGATATTCAGTTTTCCCAGCACCATTGCCAGGGATTTAGCTCAGTGGTGCCACTGCTTGCCCCCTGCCTCACAAGCGCAAGGACCTGAGTTCAATTCCCGATAACAAAAAAAAAAAAAAAATGAGCCTATCTTTTTGCCCTGGTGTATCTTTTGCCCATTTGTCAAAAATCAGATGGTTGTAAGTTCATGGGTTTGTTTTTGTGTTTTTTGTATTATTCCATTTTTGTACAAGTCTGTAATTTTGCCCATATGGTGTTGTCTTCATTATTATGGTTTTATAGTCGGACTTGGAATCTGATATTCTGATGCTTCCAGCATTGCTCACTTTTCTCAGGATTAATTTTGCTATTCTGGGTCTTGTCAGATTTCAATAAATATAGTATTTTTTTCTATTTTCCTGAAGTATGATGTTGATTTTTAAGAGTGAATACATTCAGTCTCTAGATTATGTTTTATAATATGGCCATTTTCACATGATTAGTTCTTTCAATACATGAATAAGGAGACATTTCCACTTTCTAATATCTTCAGTTTATTTCTTCAATGTTCTGTTATATTCATTGTAGATGTATTTTATCTTCATGGATAGGTTAATTTCCTAAGCATTTAATTTTTCTTAAGGTATTGCAAATGGAATTGTTTTCCTGAATTTTTTCTCATTATGCATTATTGGTGTATAGGAATGGTATTGTTTTTGGTGTGTTGATTTACATCCTGTACGATGGATTTTTAGTGATAGCAGTATGTTTAATATATCTAAATATGAAGCCCTTATTTGTTTTGTTTTGCCTAGAATACCCCTTCCCCCACAGATATTTGCTTCTCAAAATGATGATACTTCAAGACCTAATTCTATGGCCTGTTTCTTTTTTTTTTTGGTACTGATGATTGAACTTGGATCCTTGCACTTGTGAAGCAGGCAGTGGAACCACTGAGCTAAATCCCCATCCCTGCCTGCTTCTTCTTAATGCTATCACTTACTTTCCATTTGAATTCTCCTTTCCAAATAAGCCCCTGACCTTATTTTCTCATCCAATACATAATATATTCTACCTTGCTTTATAATTATATACTTATGCATGTTTTTATCCTTGAGAAAGGATTTTATTTTTATAAGCACCCAGTATCTTAGATGTAGCTGTTTAACATCTGTTGAGTACATGAATGAATATATAATAATGTATGTATTATTGATATAGGGCACCAAGTAACCCAAATAAGC